CAAGAACATCTGGGGACTAAGGGCTACAATCTCCAGGCACTTGGCCAGGAATATTCTAGAGGAAACAGCACAGGGTTTCTCCTGGCATGTAAGCCAGTACTGGCTAGAGACATCACAGTGACCCACACGGCAAACCTGCAGTGGGTTCTCTAGTCCACCTCACAAACAGCAGGTGCAACAGGAGGGAACAGGTCTGAGTGAGGAGCCAATGCCGCTGGGGACTGGTCTTCTCCAGAATGTGGAATGTCCTGTGCCTGGCTGGGCTCCTTACAGCCCCCACTCCTGCAGCTGCAGCTCCCATTTCTGAATGCGGCTAAGCAAGTTCATCTTTCTTACTCTGTGGATTCCCTTCCCTCTGTGTGCACGCATAGAGACAGAGCCTGGGATAAAAGGCACTTGAGGCCCAAGGGAAAGTCATCTCAGGAAAGAAGATGAAAGAAGAGTCAAGAAACCCAAAAACTCTGGAGTCTAAAAACACTGCCACCTCCAAACCACCTGGAGCCCTATGCAACCCACTGAGTGCCTGTGATCTATTATTGATAGGAAAAAGAATGAATTTTCCAGCATTCTCTACTCACATGCTCAGCTGGATAAACCTTTAACCACTCAAGCTACATGCATCTCTTTGGCAGGATGGGAGTGGGGTGCGGGGTTTGCTCAAATTCTGAGTGTCTCTTCCTAGGATACCACATTTCCTCTCAGCCAAGACAACACAATAATGCCCTGTGGCCTCTAGGAAAGAGGGCTTATTCGAAAACAAAAAGGCTTTGCTGAAACAAAGCAACACTCTTTACAAAAGGAGACCTAATTAGCTCTCTGTATAAGTAGAATACTGTACATGGGCCTGAGTTTCTGGGCAGTCAATTCAAAGGCTGAAATTAATCTTGCATAGACAACAGATGCCAGGTGTACTGAGACAAAAGGTACTTTCAAAGGGAGGGACCCAAGGGCTCAGGAAATAAGTGTGCTGATGTATTATTTCATGTCAATTTAGTAGCTGTAATATTTGCCGAAGGAAGAAAAAAAATAGGTGAGTTCTTTTAAGGTCCAAGATCGCTCTCTAGACATTTCAGCTGACCATTGACGCTGATCTCAAACCTGTTTGGAAGCTGGGTTATTTGGTGAAGAATGTCAAACATTTGCAGAGGCATAAGGTATAAGGCATAGGAATGCACTGATCGACAACAAACTTAATTGCATCATGTGGAAGTGATGGACAATCAAACAACAACCACAACTACAGCATATTAGCAGAGATTGGAGGAGCAGCAGAGGGCGAGTTTGAGGAGGCACAGTGGCTCTGGTTTGTTTCCTCCCTATCTATTTATTGCCACTTGGCTATTTTGTCTCTGGCTCCTGCCTACTGGGCAGCCAGGCATTCGCAGATCCCAAAGTATAAGGAATTCTTATGGATAAAAGCTTTAATCAGGAAGACTCTGGAAGCCAGTACTACTTGTGTTCTGAAAACTGCTCAAATGCTGCCCAGGCCCGCTTTGGGCCCCGCCCTGCAGGAATACAATCTTTTCTAATTCACTCCTCTTGGATGGACAGCAGTTTCTGCTAGGACTTCTTCCTCCCACATGTAAGTACAGACCTCCTGCACAGCACAAGTGCTGAGAGTTTAATGCAATGTGTACAATGCAGGCCAGGTGTCTTGAGCCTTTGGCATTGGAGAGGTCAGCCATCCCTCCAGGCAAGCTTTGGGGACCTGACATTCTACCAACAATATGTCCTGACGGAGCAACCCTGGGGCCCCACTATGGCTGTAATGGTTACGATGAGACAGCACCTGCTTCCACCACTTTCTAAGGCAACTGCTTCTGGTTGCCTTTGCATCTAGAAGGCTGGAGGAGAGTGCAGGAGCATGTGTGCATCCATGCGTGTATGCACGTAGGTTGTGCATGCTGCAGAGGCCAAAGACACCTGTCCATCATCAAAGGTGTGCAGGTGTTTCCCTGTGGCAAATCTAAGCCAGTCTGAGCTTTTCTCTTTGGAATGAAGGCAACTGTCCCAGTTGTTTTTTTCTAGGCATTTCTAAAGAGCTTGTTCTATTATCAGTCAGTGTTGAGGTTTGTATGTGAAAATTCCCCATTGGCTCAAGTGATGGACACCTGGTCTCCAACTGGTGGTGATGTTTGGGAAGGCTGTGGAACCTTTAGGAGGTGGAGCTGTGCTGGAGCAAGTCCATGGGGGTGGGCCTTGATGTTTTACAGCCCAACCCACTTTCTGTTCACTCTGCATCCTGAGTGCACATGCAATGTGACTAGCCAGCCTCCTCCAGCCTTCCCTGCCTGTGGTGGTGTCTTCCCTCCATGACAGATTCTATCCCTCTGGCGCTATACACCAGAATAAACACTTTTCCCTTAAGGCGTTTTTATTCAGGTCATTTGATCACAGCAATGAGAGAGTAACTAAGACAGTAACTACACAGGACTGCATCTCTATAAATCAAAGATTTGTTTGAGGTAAAAAGCCATGGTACTAAATGAGTTGCTTCTCTGTGTCTCTGCTTCCTCACCCATAAGACAAAGGTAAGAGTCTCTTACCTCACAAGGATGCTGTGACATGGAGGGCGCTAATTTATACAGCACACAAACCAGTGTGTGTGTGTGTGTGGGGGGGTCTGCAGCCAGTAATTACTATTTATATTATAATGGAGTCTTCTCATGCTTTTTTGCCAATGTCCCACCTGGCATCGCTCTTGACTTTATGCTCCTTTCACTACTGTGAATTTAGTACTTTTCTTTAAGCTGACTCATTTCCTATTTACTTAAAATTTATTTTTAAAGGAAATTGTACCTCACCATAGTACATGAAAAAAATAGAACTGTGTCATAACCAGAAGGCAAATGTAAAAATAAACACCATGAAAAACAAACACCTGTTGCTGGCCAAAGGTGTCAGACCCTAGCTTCCTACATGAAGCTGGAATGTTCTCCTCCAGGGACTAGGCAGGCACATCTAGCCTGGGGCCCACAGGGCCCATAACCATAGTTATGAATGTAGCCCAACACATTCTCAGATGACAGAGGTGACAATGTCAACAAGCTGGGCACCCCTGCACTAGAAGCCACTGAAGCACTGTGTGGGAGGGGCTCTCCCTGAAGCTCAGCCATCTGCACTTAGATTGCTATCCTCCCAACTTCTCACTCAGAACACATGAGACCCTGCTGTCCTCCTCCCTGGGAGGCATGGTATCAGGCAGTATGACCCCACAGAAGTGTCTGTCCTAGGGGAGACATTATCCTCACTGTGCAATAACATGGCTTCCACCAGCACTCATGACTACTAAGCACTGAAATACAGCTAGTATAGTGTATTTATTATATTATATATTATAATGTAGTCTGCTCATGCTTTTATGCCAGTGTCCCACCTTGCATTGCTCTTGAGGAACTGAACTGTTCAATTTATTCAGTTTTCAATCTAAACAGCCATTTGTGGCAGTGGCTGTGGTATGAGACAGCGCAGTTCTGAGAAAGCTGCATGCCTGGGCTCTCCACAGGCACTAACTTTGACTGCCCTTAGTTATGCCCTCATCTTCCTTCCAAGGAGAGCCTAGGAAAGAAGAGAGTGCTTTGTCATATGGGTGTAATGGAAGACTGTTTCATCTTCATTACTGGTCAATCTAAAGCCCCAGGTGGAGGGTCTTTTAGCTCCTTTTGAGGAATTACCACCTTTTCTTGTCATCAACAATGGAATTACCCAGAATAACCAATCACATTCCCATTTGCCAATGGATGTCAAGAAGCCCTTAGGAAATTCGAAGGAGAACCATGTTGGCCCTCAGAATAAATATCTATAGCTTCCACTTCTGCCTTTCAAGCTTTCAGAGTTTATATTTTATCTGACCCTGGTACATTTTTCTTCTCTTTTATCATCCTATTCTGTATGCTTCTCTAGAAATTTTCTCAAGTCTTGTAGAATTAAATAGCATGCATTTTTTAACAGTCTTACAGAACAATGCCCAGTGGTTCCATTATTTAAATAAATCACCTTCCATCCATGATATGAGAAACACTGCAACAAAGCTTTCAAGATGCTTCTAAACACTGACCAGAGACAATCAGATGAGCTTAATGCCTAGAATGTATGCAAAACTAAGAAACCAAACATGGAAAAAAGAAATCTTCCAATCAATAAAGGCCAAGAAACTGAACAGACAGTTCTCAAAAGAAGAAACACAATTGGGCAATAAGTATTTACAAAGTGCTCAGGGGCTGGGAATATGGCCCAACGGTAGAGCGCTTGCCTAGCATATGTGAGATCAGTAGTACTGGGAAAAAAAAATTCAACATCATTAACCAGCAAGGAAATGCAAATTAAAACTGCTATGGGATTCTATCCTGCCCCAATCAGAATGGCTCTCATGAAAAAGCAAATAAAAAAACCAACAAATGCCGGCAAGGAGGGGGGGATACTTAAGTTCCTAAAAAACTAAAACTGGAATAACCATATGAGACTCATACCACTTCTGGGTTATATACCCCAAGGACTGTCAGTCAACATACCACAGACATATTTGCATGTCCATATTTACTGCTGCACTGTTCATAACAGCCAAAAATGGAACCAGCCTAAATGTCCATTTTCAGATGGTTAAGGAAAATATGGTTCAAACACACAAGAGAATTTTATTCAAGCAGAAAGAAAAATGAAATCATGACATTTGCAGGAAAATGGATGAAACAGCTTCTGACTGACCTGAGCATAGGTCAGGATGCCTGAGGCCCTGCTCACCCTTGGACTTCTTGGCTGCAACACAAGCCCACAGGTCCTCACTGCGCATCAGGCAGTCGGAGCTGAGCTTCTGCAGTGGCCACACTAAAAGCATGGCTAATGCAAGGAAACCCCATGTACTTCCTCCTGCCTGACTGCAGGCCTCTGCACAGATCCTGCATATGCACATATATACACATAATACAAATGGCTCCAGACTGCCAACAGGCAAAGCACCTGACTTAATAAAAGTGATGTTTGTGTGAAACCCTGGCGCTTACCTGATATACGTGGAATGCATTTGCTGCTTTGCCTCGGAGAAACACAGACGGAATCCAGACATTTATCAGAGCCCGGTTTGATCTGACCAGAAGAAAGAGATCAGAGAGGTCATTTTTACTTTTTTTAAAAAAGACAGGACAGGAAACAATTTTCTCCTCTGAGAAGCATTTCAAACAAGCCAATTATACAACAGACCACACTTAATTGCAAAAAGGACACGTTTAAGTCTATCACTAGGCCTGCTAAAACTATCTTTAAGGGACTTGTTTTAAAAGATACTTTTTTTTTAAATTTATACATGCAGTTTATACTCTGGAATGAAAGCTGCTCTTAGTTCTTATCAGTGAAATGACCTTGTCCCAGGATGTATCTGAAGCTCAATCACCACATCTGACAAAGCAATAGTAATAGGGAGCTATGGGAGGTCTTACACCGTAACACCCAGTTCCTGGAGCATCCAGTGGAGCCACCTGCCCCTCTACTGCACTGACTTCAGACCCTGGTCCCATTTTCAGATGAAACTCCACACAAGAGCTGAGGAAACTGACACACAAGGCTATGAGGGTGATGTGGTTTGGAGGTGGGGGATGGAAGGACAACAGAAAACAGCAAGTTGGAAAACTCAGGTGCCTGGTACAAATGCCTCTTCTGACTTTTCAAAAAGCTCTGTGTATAGTAGTCTAAGATGAGCAAGACTGAAATTCAGCTACAGAGAGGTGCAGCTCGGTGGCAGAGTGCTTGCCTACTATAAGCAAGTCTTGGGTTCATTCAGTTGCCAGCACCACAGGAAAATAAATCTTCAAATACGAAATCCTATCTGGGTACCTTACACGTGCAGCTCCATGCCTGTCTTATATTAACTCACTCAACCCCAATGTGAACTGCCCAAGGCCTGTTCGGGTGTGTTTTGGTTATTTCTCAGTTCTGCCTTCAGGAGTGACTTGACCAGGTATAACTTGCTAGACCCAGATCACAGATCTGAAGTGGTTATACTATGGCTGAGACCTTGGGGAGCAACCTGATCACCTACGCTTCTGCTTTGTGCTGCCCCACCTGGAAGGCCCTGCCTTGCCTCTACCCAGAGCTATTCAGAAAGGGGCACTTCCTGAACTTTCCTGCTCAAAACTCCAGCGTCTTAGGTTTGTAGAAGATGCTGATCATGGAAGATTCCACAGCTTAATGGTCTCATATCCTTAGAGTGAGGGTTCCTCTGGAAACAACACTTTTAATCTCTGGGCTGAGGCAATGACCTCCTTCCTGAGGAAAATAGGTCCTGAGTGACCACGTATCCAGGGCTCAAAGCACAAACTGCATTTCTGAACCATCAAATTTGTCTGTGCATCTAACAGCATTTCACAGGCAAAAGTCCCAATGGTCTGCGAGTCCGAGAGCATCCTGGTTTGTTTCTGTGTCAACTGGGACCAGTAGTGCAGGAAACTCTGGCTCCATTTCAGTTCCTGCACTGGGAAGGGCCAGGTGATCTCCCAGGATCCACAGCAGGTGACTCCAGACTGGGTCGTATGTTCTCCTTTCAGAAGTTTGCCATACCATGTCGGAACTGACTGGTTATGTGACCATCGCCCTCCATGTCAGTTCCTGTGGTCCTGCTGTTTGTTTACTCATTCATTCATGAATCAGTGAATGTAGTAGGACCAGTGAAGACCTACTATGTGCCAGACACCATTCTAGGCACCAGAGACAGGGGAATGGAGATACAGCCTCCTCCCTCATAAAGCAAGCTGCTGAACATGAGAGGAGACCAGTCTTATACCATGGTCAAGAAGACACTCAGCTTAATTTCAGTTTTTTAAAATGTCCGTGGTCAAGAAGACAGTATAATTTCAGTTTTTAAAAATGCATTGAGGCATAGTCTAACTTGGAGAATGTTCCATGTGCATCTGGGAAGACAGTTTTTCTATCTTAAATATGGAGGGAGTCAAAGGCCTATGTGTTAAAGGATTGATCCTCTGTCTGTGACGCTAATGAGAGATGGTAAGGCCTAGAGAAAGGGGATTCTGGGGCCACAATCCCTCCTTAGTTCTCTTTGCTTCCCAGCCACCTTGAGGTAGACAGCTTGCTGCCAGCCATGACATGCTACCTCAGCACTGGCCCAAGAACCATGGGTCTTTCCAACCATGGATCAAAGATCAAAGCCTACAAAACAAAATGACCCTTTTAACTCTATAAGCTGATTGCCTCAGGTACTTTGTTATAGTAATAGAAAGCTGACTAACATAAGTGTATATTCTATTTGGTGGAATGTGCTGGCTCTCTCTCTCTCTCTCTCTCTCTCTCTCTCTCTCATATATATAATCTCTCATATATACAATCTGCTATGTCTAGTTGTTTTATAGTGCTGTTCAAGTTCAATTCCTTATTGATCTTCTTTCCAGTTGTTCTGGTAGTGAAAGTGGGGTATGAAATCCTGAACTATCATCACAGAATTGACTTAATTTCAGTCAGTTTGTACATCACACATTTGAAGACTCTATAGCTGAGTGTGTGTGTGTATATATATATGTATATATATATATATGTATATATATATATGCTCATCTCCAACACTGATCATTCTTTTCCCCCTGCTTCACCCCACCTTCATGACAGCACCCAAGACAGTAGAGCCTCTCAATGCCCTGTGCTGTCTATAATCCCATTCCAATCGCTAACATACTCTGGAAAGTTAGTCCCACAGCTTTCATGTTACAAAGGGACACGTTAAGTCCTGGTGAGGTAACATGACTTGCCTGACCCAAGGTCACACTGTTCTATATCCAGTGCCCCAAATCTCAGTACAGGTCTCCTGGCTCTAAAAACAAACAAAAAGCTTTCTTTCCAGTGTCCTCCATTCCTCCTACTCCAGAAGTGGCTTTTCCTGTGTGACTGTTCCTGGGGAGGTTGGCCTTTTTTATTTTATTGAGACAGGGTTTCACTTTGTTACCTGGCTGGCCCTGAATTCCTGGGCCCAAGAAAAGAGAGACTGTACCTTCTTCCACCCACCACAGCTGTGTGAGAGTGAAAAGAGGCTCAGTCTGGCCCTGAGCCCCACGTTGTGGGTACGCCTAGAGAGAATACATGACTCCCAGTAGAAATCACCTGAAGAGCAAAGGCTTCCTCAGGGGTTACCAGCAGAGGCACTGAACAGAGTCCTATAAAGCCACAGCAATGGAGACTATGGCTGGGCCACAGGGAGGCATCAGGGAAAGGGGGGACTGCAGCAAAGCAGAGGGCATAGGCCCTATACAAAAGGAGCCCCTCTTGAACTCCAGCTGACTGTGGCCTCCCAAGTGTGCCAACTCAACTTTCAATGAAAAATTTAAAAATTAAAACTTTATGTGATGCCTTAAAAAATTCAAATGTCAGCCCAAATCAAAATGTTTTTAAATGCCCAGGTGGCTAAGACCTCAGAAAACTCCCCACCTCTCCAACCAAATCAACCTTGTGTGAGCTTCCCAGGGATCTCTGCCTTGCCCTATGGCCTTAAGGACATAGGTTTCCACTGAGTTATATTTCTAAAGGTCCCTCAAGAGCACATATATGGACTTACATTTCAAAATCTGACAAACTCTGGTCTTCAGATGTTTGGCTCATATCTCCAGGCACCTGCCATTAGGAGAGGGAAGAAAAGAAAGAGAAGGCATTGGTTACCAGTGTTTGCAAATTTACTGCAGACTGCTGTTTCTCTGTGCCCTCAAACATTTCCCTCTGAGAATGAGGTGGAAAAGTAGTTATAGGGAAACAATGAGAGATTTCATGGCAGGACGGCTGAAGATGATGTTGCAGTCATAAAAATATGCCACCAGTGTGATCTCAATTATCTTTATGGAAAAAGGACTGTTAATCCTATTGAGATAATCACAGCATATAAAAGCATGTAATTTTGAAGCTATAAAGGACTAATTAGAAGCGTAGACACAAGATATCATCTGTGCAAAGAAAAAAAAAATCCATTGTCACCATGATGAGTACCACACACAGACACACCCACTAAAGGGCACCTTTTAGCTCATGCACACCAGTCTGGTGGGAGAGTGGCCTGGGCTGAGGCCTGGGTGGGTACCAGCAGCGAGGCAATTAAACTGAGCCCCAGGCCAGAATTCCCTACGAAGGCGCAAACCCAACAAGGAGAACTCTTCACTCAGCTGCTTTGGTGTTCATCACCTTCCTGCAGGTGGCTGGTAAGGGGTGATATATTTGTGACACTGTATGAACCAAGATTCCTAAAATAGCCTCATCCTTTGAGAGGAAACCACTGCCAAAATGATCTAGAAATAACATTCCAACACACCAACCAAAATGTATATCAAAGATCAACCCTGAGGGGGTGGACACCCTTTGCTGTTCTCCATAGACATGCACACATATGGCATACATACATTCATCTACACACACATCCATAGACATGAATAAAATAATAAAGACAAATCTTAAGGGAGAGAAGATAGAAGGAAAGGGAAGGGAAATGAACGAAGGGGAGAGACACCCTGGAAAATACATAATAAACAGTACCAGTCACTATCACTGACAATAGATGAGATTGTGGAGAAGGAGGCTCATTTTTCATTTCCTATCTTTCTGTTAGATGAAAAGAGGTATCTTTTGAGATGCTTTAGAAACTGTGAAGGTATTTCTAAAGAAAGAGCTGCCTTCCTCTCTGCACTATTATGCAACTACCTCTAAGAAGCATCTGTAAGTGGAGCAAAGTCCTGGAGCAGACAAGGTCCAAAGTGCAAGCTGTGGTGCCACATGGGGAGAAAAACTGCCCCATTGTATGTGCTTGGTTTTGCATCAAGAAGTTGCAAAACTGAACAGAAGGCATCAATGGGCAGCATGCTCACAGGAACTGGGGCAAATCTGGGCCACTGGCGACCACTACACAGAGCAAGGCTATTTATCATCACACATTTTAGAGACAGTATCTCATGTAACGAGGCTTGCATCAAACTCACTATAGAGGCCAGAGTGACCTTGAGCTTTTAATCATCCTGCCTCCACCTCCCTAGTGCTGAGATTACAGGTATGTTCTACCACTCTGGTTTATGCAATACAGGAGAAGGAAGCTAGGGCTTTGCGCATGCTCAGCAAGCATTCTATACACTGAATTGCATCCCCAGCCCTATGGTGAACACTCTTACCATATTTGCATTTTGAAATAAATTTATGTACTACTAATTTAAAACTTAAATAAAAATGTACTAGCTACTCCCACAGAGTAGTTTTGATAAATGTTTGATGGCATACATAAAAACTCTTGTCTTTTTCAAAAGCAGTGAGGGAATGCACATGCCCAATGTGGTCCCTAAGTGTGACACACAGCATCTGTGTGTCAATATGGTTAGAACTAAATATGCCCGGATGATGACGGCAAAGTCAGAGGAGTCTGAGAAAACTATTTTGAACTTTTTTGTACTTTTCTACAATGAAGATGTTTTAGTTGTGTGACAACAAACAGATCCACATTCCAAAGCAATCTGTGTATCAAATTAGTAAAGTAAATGTATTTTCTACATTCTCTTCCAGCTCCACGCATTAAGATGCAAGAAGTCAGGCAGGAGAGGTATTTGCCTTCAGTGGTACATGTGGGATGGGAAAACAGAGAGTCTGGGCACTGAAGCCATGTGGCCTTCCTCTGTAACCCTTGTGCTCATCCATGTGGAATTAGGGATACCCTGCCAGGATACCAGCTCCTTCTCAGTAGGGATAAAGCGGGGGGGGGCTCTCAGCCTCTACTGCACCCCCTCCCAAAATCTTCCCTCAGCACCTGAGGCTGACAGTTCTTCAGGGCTTGTGTAAGGACCCACTATCCCAAGAGGAGGGCCTCACATCACAGGCTATCAGTCAGCAGCTCCTCCTTTGGAGACAGCCTCCTTTCCAAGAGGAAGTGAACAGGCTTGGTCCCCAAGGAACCCCATTTGGAAGGACCTCTGAATGTGTGTACCCCACGAAGCAGAAGCCAAGGGCAACAAAAAGGAGAGAAAGACAAGGCGGGCTGGTTAAGGGTTGGCATTGCTTCACGATTACAGGGAGTTAAAGTGCTTCCTTAAGAATCACCAGGTATTTCCCCGACAGGTAAGTCTCCCCTCAGGGAATATTGGCTTTCTGGGAACTTTCTGGACAGTGAATGTAAGTGCCCAGGGGTTGTTAATTTTAAGTTCTGCTGGCTCAGAGGCTTTTCTTCTAATTCTGTGGCCTCCCTGGGGTTGGCAAGCCAGATGTTCATATGTCTTCCTGAATGCTGGGGAGGCTGCTCAGACAAAGTCTGTGACCTTGGGAACGAACCTCTGTGGAGCCTCTGTGGAGCCTGGCTGCTAACCAGGCCAAGCTCGGTGCCAACTGCACAGTGACAATGTTAGGTCGAGGTTACTAAACATTACAAGTTTGTCTTTTCCTGCTGTCTGCCCAAAATGACACCAAAATTCCTCTAGGGCTCACAGCCAGAGTCAGAAGTGGATTCTTTTATTCTTTCTAGTGCTGGGAACCACCTACCACATCCAAGCACTCTACCACTATGTTACATCCCCAGTCTTTTGTTACTTTCTGATTTGAGACAGGTCTCATTAATTTGTCTAGGCTGCCTTAGAACTCACTCTGGAACCAAGGCAACCCTTGAACTTGAATCCTCCTACCTTAGCCTCCTAAGCTTAGATTACAGGCCTGTGCCACAAAGCCTGGCCAGAAGGCTGATTCCATGTCATGTTCCAATGATTAAAGATGAGTGGGGCAGAGATATTTTGTAAGGAAAATCAGCTTTCTCTTGTTGCTAGCCATAAATACCTCTTTCACCTCCCAGAACCTGAGGAATCTTGGAAGACTTAATTAACTCTGGGATGTGGCTTTCTCTTTGGTTTGTCTTCTATGTGGGCATAATAAATAACTGTCCATTCCTCACTGACCCCAGAAAAAGTCCACTCCCCATTTGCCTGTGCTCTGGGCTGTATAGTCAGCATTGAAGTGTAGGACAGACAGAGCCCATCACCAAAGAAACAGAGCAGCCAGATTCCTGGGACCTCCCAGAGCAAAAAACCCTCAGTGCTGTGAGCAGCAGGGTGTGGAACAGCAGGAGAGATGGCAAGGCAAGCTGCACCAGCAAGGTTTTTCACTACCGCCCCGGGCTCAGCATTCCATGAGGGCTGTGGCAGGCCAAGGCCAGCAGCTGTCTTACTGGTCATCAACCTCCAACCCCAGTGTCAATGTGTGGCTCCGGCCAGGGCTCCCTTTGTTGTTTTGATTTGGGAATTCTTGCAACTTAGGAAGATATTGAAGGTTCTGTCCAAAAACAATGCCCACTATGTGCTACCTAAATCCTTCTGAAGTTAGAAGGAGACAAGGGAGGGGGACAGAAAGAAGGCAAGGAAGGAAAAAGGAAAAGGATAGGAAAAAAAAGGGAAGAAGAGAAGGAACCATTAGCCAGCTTGTCCAAGCCAAGGAAAACAAGCACACCACCTCCCATGGCACAATCAGGACATGGTGCAGGTGGTAATGGTAGATAAGGAAAGGGCTGATGGTGAGGCTACTCCAGGGACTGTGAAGATTACAAGTTCAAAACCTGGCTGGGCTACAGAGTGAGTTCAAGGCCAGTCTAGGCAACTTACTTAGTCAGACCCTGTCTGGAAACAAAAAGCAGAAAGGGGGCTGAGGATATATTTCAGTGGTAGAGTGCCTGCTTAGCAAGCCAGAAACCCAAGGTTCCATCCTTAGTAACACACACACAGACATGGATACACTCACACAGACACACGCACAAGGGCACCCACAGGTGCAACTGCCTGCTCATCCATGAATGCATACACCCCAATCCCCAGGCATGCACATAGACAGGATATCCTTGGAACCATCCTTACTGCAGTCCCAATGGACAAATAACAAGACACCACCACATGTCATCAATGCTTCCCGTACTACAAAGCACCTTCACAAAACAACTCACCCCACATCCTCCAGTCAACAGCCTGTGAGCCAAGGTGCCATCCCCATTCATGGGGAAGAAATGAGGGCTCCTGTTAGTAAACACAGAGAAAGTACAGGTGCCAGGAGTCCAACCTTGGTATCCCAGCCTACTCAGGAGCCCCAGGGACTTCAAGTGCTCAACTCTCTCCACGTGGGAAGAGATCATATGATGCATTCCGGCCATCAATTCCACCAGCACAACAGACTGAAGAATGGAGAACTACTTCGGAGGATCGGCTCTAGAGCCCCAGATCACTGCAGCTTTGGCCACCATACAGAGTAGAAAACCATCCAGCAGAGCCCAGCCAAGAAACAGAATCACTGAGGTAAGAATACAGTTGTGCCTTTTCTTTGAGACAGGGTCTCATTAGATAGCTCAGCCTGGCCTTCAACTTGTGATACTCCTGCCTCAGCTTCTCAAATGCTGGGATTACAAACATTTGCCACCACTACCAGATTGGCTGTGCTTTTCTAAGTCATTAAGTTTTGGAGTAGTTTGACATAGAGTAACACAAAGCCCAGTGAGCACCAGAGGCAGGATTCAACCTCAGGCGTCTGGCTCTAAAATCAGCACTTTACAGCACAGAGGTTTGCTGCCTCCCCCAGCAGAGTCCTCATTCCATGCATTTCACCTCTAGGAAGCCTGGAAGATGATA